AATTCTGTCTGTGATTATTTATTTCATGGTATGTGTCACACACATATACAGACATTACAAAAGTTAATTAATGAAAATTGTGTTCAATTCATGAGTAAATTACACAGAGAATACAACTATCAAGCAAAAAAATCAATAAAGAATTTGATCCAAATGTTAAAAGTGCAAAATGTGAAGTGAAACCATGATGACCCGCGAGTATCATTGAATGATTCAATGTACCTAATATTTTTCATTGATTCTGGTAAAAGAATATTTCCAATTTGGACAACAAAATATTTAGTAGGTGGTGGAGTTTTTCAGTAAAGAGGTAAATGTAATGAGAGGGCTCACACTACATTTGAATGAAAACATGCTTTTACCTAGTATTTTTGGCAATGTTTGTGAGGAAGCTACTTAGTTGAATCCAACTGAGAAATTCGTGAGTTAGAGAAATTAATAAATGAAACCAACTGAAAGTAACTTATGAGTCAAACCACAAGAATAATAAATATGGTTCACACAATGATTTATCCCGTTTTAATTTAATATGTTCAATCGTGTAAATTGAAATACTTCATAAAATCTCCACTAAATAGTTCTTACATTTCTATTTTAGTATACACGTTGTTAATGTGGACTGTGAGTGCTTGACCTGAGGTAGAAGGTAACACCTACCCAGTGTTGCTTTGTGATCACTTTAATTTTTACTTCACTTGTGTCAAAGCAAAATGATAGGGAGCCAATATGCTTGTACTAAAGGAATCTCATGTCAGGCATAAAAGGACAAACCTGGCACGGTACTGATTCAAATTCAGTTACTTTTGTAGGAACCAGCACCAGCTGTTTTACTTCCATCCCAATTGGACCCAGGCTGAGTTATTATAACAACCACTCAGTGTTAGAAAGCTCACGCACTTGTGAGAAGTAGCTGTGATGACTGTCGTGATTCTGTAATGATGCAGTGGGGATCACAGCAACATGCTGATGAATTTTGTGGCCGTGATGAAGCTGATGGTCTGGAATGTTCACAGGTACAGGGAGACATTTTCTCTAAACAAAATAAGTGTAAGTACACGAATGTCTGTCGAAATGTTGCTTGACCATTGCAATAGTTAGTAGTTGTAACCAGGCTGTCACAACATTCATATATATACTTCTGGCCAATCAGAGTCCACATTGTTCAAGCTTTTTTTTACTCTGGAATTTTTTTATCCAAGATCAAATTTTTGACTCTTTTAGTTACTTTGTCTCTGACCGGACTTGTAGGAAGCTTTACTCAGATTCTTTCTACTCGTTAATTTACCCATATTATCATCATCATAGAAGACTGCACCTTGTTCAGAAATACAAAGAACTCCCGTAGCGTATCACTACCTGACTACAGCTGATGTTAGGCCTGTAAAAGAGGATCTTTTGTGGGCATAATCTTACAAATAAATGGGTTCTACATTATATTCCTGATAGCCAAATCCCAGTGTCTAGGAAATCTAGTGGCCCTATTCATGACACACTTCGTCTAAACTACCTTAAAATGGACTAACCAAGAATGCCTTGATATTGTCCCAGGAACAAGCCTTCCTGTTGCTCAATCCATACCAATAACACTACCACCTGCAAACAACGTAGACTTATTGCATATCTGTGATAAAGATTAATCAAATATTGTATTTGCATTATTTTGATTATACATAATGAAATATATTTTTGTATCAGTGTTTATGTCATCATTTTTCATTAAATGTTTAGGGGTTTATAGTCGTGATTTGCATATGTATGTAAAGTGCATTACTTTTTCATTTTATTTTGTATTGTAATTTGTAAATGTGTTTTATATACCTCTATATATATATATATATATATGCAAGATGAATCTCTTTCCTTTTTGTTCTTTGTTTTTATGTTTAGTATTACTTCTGTGTATCTATAAATGTTTATTCAGATGCTGGGTATATATGCACTTCATTACAGAAAGTGTATGTGTTATACATTTTAAAACTGCACACATTGTAAATTTAATAATTATGTGAATTTTTTTTTATGTTATGTAATTATGCCCATGATTTTTTCTTGTAAGGGTGCAACTTTTCACTTTTAAGATTCTATTAGAGTTATCATAAGTTTTACTCTTTTACATTTTATCATTAAAAGGTTTATTTCAGAATTTTTGTTTTATTTTTCTTCGTGAAAGCACGTTTTTGAATTCTATATGGCGTTTTCGTATTCCATGTTGTGAATTAAGAATTCCTCGATTTTTTATTTCTTTCGTATAAATTTTATCGTATTTTAAAATTTAAGGTCAAGTACAACCAAGGACGTCCTAAAAACAAGGTGAAGTAGGATATGGTACATGTATGTATAATTTTTTCCCTTCTCTTTTAGCTTAGAAAAGTAAGCTGTATAGTTTACCTAAACTTTTCAGATATATGCACCTTTAAAGAACTTGTAAACTTGCACATATGAAGAATATGCGTGCAGTATTGGCCTTATTTTATGTGCTTAGTTATACACGGTCAAGGTGAGTACCCCCACTTAGGTATTTTCAGACATTTGTCATGAATGAAGTGATGTTGGTGGAGATATGTATTTTAATTATTAGTTAGTGTCAGATGTTAAGTAATGCTATGGTTGCCAATTAAAAGGCATTTACTTATATTTTTAATACTATAAATATATACTGTGTTGTTGTTGGGCTTAGGGTTCTTTTACAGTAGGTGTCTGACTTATTAGCGATAAATTCAACGATAAATGAATAGTGCGCACTTCACTTGTTTTCAAAATAATATATATATATATATTCGGAACAAGTTAAACGTTATTCACTTAAATTACCATAATCGTTTGGTCTTCTTTCTTTTAAATATCCTCTCTTCCTTTCGTCAAAGTGCACTCAGGCTGATTCAATTGCTTTAGAACCACGCTTTGACGGAATAATTCTTCTTCTTATCTCCTTTTCTACTGTTAGTGTTACACTAACATATTAAACGTTAGGCCTAACACTTCTACGGTAGTTAACTTCACGCCGAACTTTTCCTTACCAATAACTTTACTCATTTCTGCTATTATCTGTCTGCTGTTTCCGCTTGTCTCACACTATTTAATCGTCTGTATTGCACGCGACGTTCGATAGTCTCAACATCAATTAATTATAAACACAACTTCCAACAATTGTCTGGTTTTAACTCTTATTATAACAAAAAACTAAACAATAATAAAATGTTAACTCATAAAATAAATTAATCAATAATATCTGAACTGAACAGTCTTTTATATCATGACAGTTAAATATAAAAATGCATGTTTTGGTCAATATCAATCAAGCATGGTGTCCTCTTCAATTCTTAGGGTCTGAGGCTATTTTTCTCCACTGTTTTCTATACCTCACTCTCTAAACCAACCTTCCGAACTCGAGCTTTTCCACTTTCTAATCCCATGGTTAACTAGGGCTAAGTAGTGTGGTGAGACACTCAAACCTCCTCTGCACCCAAAGGGCGATAGCGGTCAGGTGGGCACCAGGAGACAATTATCGGGATAATGTTAGGTGACCAGTGCGATGTCTAAGAACTCTTCTACGAAACCGTAGATTAGAAACCTCTTGAGATCAATGTATTGATACAGCAGTTAAACAAGGTAAGTATTGTATGTAATCTCTATATCTTTTCCGTCTTACGAATTAATATGTCATTTATTTGATTCTTATTTTTGTTATCCAGTCTCCACGACCATCTCTGATTAAGACTTTTTTCTCTGTGTGTCGTTAGACCTTCTTACCATCGTTACATGAATGCATATCTTGTTTTTAACACCTTGGTGATACATAGTCCATGTAACTAGTTTCAAAAATATAGTAGTTGAATTAAAACTTATGATGACCCCCGAGAAGAGCATAGCTGTTGATGACGATGCTCCATCTTCTTTTCCGAACTTTACAGTCAGAGATTGTTTTACTTAATTCTGAGAGGACAGTCTGTTTAGAAAAGATAAGGTCCAGCCAATGTTTCTGTAAAGATGTCGAAACTTCATCAGATTTAATCCTTCCTAGACGAACTGCCCGTTCGTAAGTACAGTGTTAAAGTCTTCAGTTAATTATGTCTCCGCAGAGAGAATACAATTTTTCTATTGTTTCTTCTTCCTACAAACACTTTTCAATTGACCGCCATTCTTTCATTTCTCGGCAGATTGACTGGAACTTGGAAAAAAAAATAATAATCCCTGTAAACTCCTACTGGAGTATAGGGCCGCAACAACGCCTCGCCGACGGAAGTTGTTTTTGCAGTAATTTTAGCAGGTAAGTTTTTTACGGGGTGGAGTTGCTAGCCCAACCCTCCTCCTTTCTCATCTTGGACTTGGGACCAGGCAATGGTAGTGGCATCCCTGCCGGGGAACGAACCCGGTACCTTTGGATTAGAAATCCAACGCGCTATCCACTGCGCTATAGGGACACCTGGAACTTGGTAGGGTTATACAACACGCCCAGACACATTTTGCGTTTTTAAAATTTAGGCCTTTTAAAGGATTTTATTGGGTCAAAGATGAAGAAAACCAAAAATATATATTTTAGACTCCTGTACGGTCATATTTACAGGAATCAAGAAGAAAATTGGCACAGATATGGATTTTCATGAGCCCAACACATTGACCTAAAAGGTTGGATTTACCTATTTTGAGTCTTTTTAAGGGAGTTAACTCTCACATAAAAAGTACAATTTTGGGGGTTTTGGTCAATTACTTGGCCATATTTCGATCAATTTACATGGGATTTGGTATAAAAATACTTTTCTGCAGGTCCCACACATTGACAAGCAAAATAGGGACTTGTTTATTTTTAGTAATTATAGGGAGGTCAAGATGCCACTGAAAGAATAATTTTAGTTTTTTTTTTTTTTACAATTACTTCGTCGTATTTCGGCCAATTTATATGGGATTTGGAACAAAGATACCTTCTTGCAAGTTCCAAGCAGTGATATAGATAATTTTTTATTGTTTATGTGTTCTGGTGTCAAAATTGGCCATATTGGTATTGTGTGGGGGAGACATGTTGCATTGGCCTGCGAATGTTGGCCTCTTTTAATTATCAATAACATCTGATCAAGGAAGCTATTTGAATCAAAGCTAAAATGTATGATAACTACCGGTATGCTCGATAAATAATACAAACGTGATGTATAGATTTTAAAAAATTCAATATTAATATTTTGTTTATATGCATAAAATATATTTTAATTAATTTTTTTATATATATTTCTTTTATTTCAAAATAGGAAAGAAGAGTATATAAACATATAATACTTCTTAACGCTTGAAAACGTGGTGTTACATTGGCGGGAAAACTATCGCAGGCTGTATCGTCGATGTATCGAAGCAATATTTGGATTCATAATCTTGGCGTCTTACTCTCAAAATATATTAATAGTAATACTGTTAGAATTACAAGGTCTTCTAATATAAGCAATGGGAATACACGGGTTAGCTAAGTTAATTGCTGACTGCGCTCCATCATCAGTCAAGGAAAATGACATAAAGAATTACTTTGGTAAGTAAATTACATACAAAGAAAAGTGAGTTTTGAAGAAGATCAGACAGCTTATATAAGTGTGTAAAGCACCTACCCTCGACAAGAAATATTTTAGAACTGGGAGTAAGGGAAATGTTGAGGTTCCTATCTGTTTTTGGAAGATATTTGATTCACAGTTTGATAATATTGTTATAAGGTTAAATACTAAGTTACATTCTTGTGAAATTGGTGGAAAAGTTAAAAAAAAGTGACAGAAGATTAGTTTGTGGTGAACAACAGAGGATAACAATGAACAGGTTTAATTTTCTAATTGGGAGAATTGAAACATGAAATTCAAAGTGACAAAAGAATTAGGTCATTAGTGATTTAGTCTATTGAAGTCATCCTTGTGATTATTGATAAATGCCAGAGCCTAAAACCATGAGTATTTAGCTATGGTAAAAAGAGCTTGTATATTCCTGGAACAAATGTTTTTTTAAATTTTGAAGTTAAAAGTGATGACTTGTACTTATAAGATTGGCGAGACCTCTTTTAAAAACCAGGTCAAGTTTTTCTCGTGTTTATGAGAAAGATATCACTATACTTTATGTAGTGGCTTTCTATAATTCTGGCAACTTTTAAAGAACTTAATATAAGAGCTATGATGTTGAAATATTTGTTAGATAAGTGCAACATTGCAAAAGCTACTTGTACATTTAGCTTGATTTATGTTTAAGATATTAAGTTAACATAATCCATTTGGTATATTGAGATTATCCTTTCACCTAACAATAAAACAAAAACAAAAGCTTTTCAGATCGATATACTTACCCCACCAAAAGTTAAGACTTAATAACTATACACCCCTCTTTTTGTAAAGGGTGATTGGCTTATGCAATGAGTTGCTGTTAGCAGTAGTGGAGATTGGCACTTTACAGGAGTTTAAGAGTGGAATCAATGATTTCTGAGAAATAAATGTTCGATTTAAATTTTACTTTTCTCAAGGTTTGTAAACCAAGTAGTTCTATGTTGACCATATGTTATAATCAAACTACTCCACTAGCTTATAACTAACTACAAAAAAAACTCCTGTTGAAGAATAAGTCTACATCTGAATTGTTATCCTTATGTATGCAAGTCCATTTCATTATGACCCACTGATATTTTGAATTTGTTAGACCAAATATTATTCTATGGGACCACCTCTGCCATCTTCCATCATTTAAGAACATAAGAAAAAAGCAAGGTGACAAAAACCATCTGGCTCATTTTAGTCATTCTTCAGTGAAGGTTCCATAAATAATTCTATATATACATATATCTATTTGCAACTAAGTATTCAATTAAAGATTTAGGTTCTAATTAATAATCACACCTAATTTTGAAAGTAGAGCTTTTTTCAAGACAACATATTAACATAATATATGGATAAAAAGGAATCATGTAATCCTTAAAGGCTGTCCTTACACACCCACTTAAATAAGTAAAAAATTTAAATCTGTTGATATATATTTCAGGAAACCACCAATTCCTCTCATAAACTTTTGTAAAAATGCTGGTCTCCACTGTTGTTGACAGCAATTCTTTTCATAAGCTAATCATCCTGTTAGAAAAATAAAATGTCTTAACTGGAGCCAAGTTTGTGTTTTGCATGTCAACTTGTTTTCCCTCAGCTTATTGTATTCAGAATACAGCACAAAGAAATTAGAGGCCTTTATCATATTTATCTCCCAGATAATCTTGTAATCTTCAATGAGACAACCTCTTACTCTTTTCTGAAGAGAAAATAAGTTAAATAATCCAAACCTATCTCTGATAGCTAACCTTTCCAGGCCAAGAATCATCCTAGTAACCCTTTCTATTGACACTTTCAAATTAGTCAATATATTTTCTGAGATAGGGATACCAAAATTATACATTATTCCAAGTCAGGCCTAACTGCTGATTTGTATAGAGACAATTACATCTTTTTTATTTGTAATAATTATGTCTGTAAATATACCTAAAAATTTTGATTTCCTACTAACAACAGCACTGCTTTGATGACTTAAGCAATTTATTCGGGACTTTGCTAAAATCCTTTTCTTCAGTCACGTTATTGAGTTGGTTCCCATCTTTATTAAATGTGTGATCTAAATTATGGTAACCTAAATGCAATACTTTACATTTTCTATAATTAAAGAATCTTTGTTTAATAGGATCCTAAATTGTATTCAATACTTCAAGTGAAATCTCATCAGGGTTTTGTATAGGTTACAAAAATTTTCTTTTATACTTCAATCAGAAATTTCTCTAAGTGTAAATAGAGCCAAGAACTTTGGTATGTTCACTACAACATAACGCTTGGTAAAATATTTTAAGGTTTTACCATTTATATAGCACCTGAATCTTATTATCCCACTACAGCAATTCTTCTTGCAAGCAAAAAGTCCAAATTTCTATACTGAATCCTTATAAGATTTTTTAGCATTAAAACTAATTTTCCAGGTACTGGCCAATTCATTGAGACTTTCACACTCCTTTTGAACAATACTAATAAAGAAACTATTCAAACTGTTGACACAAATAATGAACAGTATGCTGCAGGTCTTAAAGCAGACTTTAGAGGTACTCCAACAGCCACATTCATTACCTTACCAAAAAAATGTACTTTTGTTACCACTCTTTTGAGTGAACCAATACAATTTTTTCTGTAAAAATGATTAGCCTATGCTAATACATTGGCACTTCATCTCAAATGCAAGTCATGGCACCAAAGGTAGACCTATGGCTGGAGGAATATAAAAAAGCCTTTTTTGAAGAGAAATATTCATATAGATAGATACTTAAATGATGTAAAGCCAAGAAGGAAGCTTCAGTGTTCACCATAGAAGCAGAAAAACTTGTACATCAGTAGAGTATTACTATTTTAAAGAACAAGTCTATTTTTCATAGACAGACTGAGTTTTTTGGAGAGACTGTTGGTGAATTTTATTCATTATTTAATGTTTTTGGATAAAGAATATTTCTTCTTTCAAACAATTTTTTTTTCTTAACTAAATATTTTAATAACTTGCATGTATATAAAGTTCCTTACAAAAATTGTCAGATGTTTTATAGGAAATGTTATTTGAAAAATTAAAGAAAAATATTAAATTTTTTATATATATATATATACTGTTTTTAGAATGTTTTTGTGATTATTTTAAGTGAAATAAGTTATTAGTTTTCTTGAACATTTCAAAAATTCCTACAAAATGTGATGTCTTTACAGGAAGAAAAATAGCTATTGATGCATCAATGAGTATATACCAGTTTCTTATTGCTGTAAGACAAGAAGCAAATGTATTAACAAATAGTGAAGGTGAAACTACAAGGTAAGACTAATCTCTCAGGGTATTAATAGTCATTTAAAGTAAGAGAAATGAACTGTTGAAATGTTAAGTTTATGTTGTTCTTACTAGGAAACTATAGGGTCAGTAAAGAAAGATTTGTTAAAGTTTTTCATCAGTCTTATGTGTTGTATGTAATATGACATAAACTACCTATCTACCTACCTTTACTAGCATAGGTACAACATACCATATGAATTCATATCTCATAAACTGTTGTGAATTGTGTTTTGCCTGAGAATGTGTGCTGCATGACCAGCTGACCAAGTGAATTCTGATATTGAGTGAAAGGCCTTGTTGGCAGTGGCATTCATTACACATGGTGTGCTTTTGAGATGATATCTTCTTACTGGCAACCCTATAGGGCAAGTAAATAAATAATGATTTGACTTTATGTATGTGTATTTTTGTAAGGTAAAAATTTGTGTGATTAGATAAACTTCTATGCAAGATGTCAAGCCTAAAATCTTCTGATCCATAGCCTGGCATACTATGCCACTGAACGTGCTTCACTCTTTTAGCTGTTGCAGCAAGTGCTGTTGACTTTTGTTCCCCCTCTGGTTGACAGTTGTATATTAGAGATGAGTATGCCTCAATCGTTTTCTTACACAAGACAGCATCATTTACAACTTTTTGAAATTGGCTCATTTTCCACATTTTTACCAACTTACTAAGGCTTTCCAAGTCTTTATAAATTAAGGTATATCTTAGTTTAGCACCAACCTTTCTATCTCATGTAACTCTAGTCAGATCTTTGAACCAACAGCTTATCCCTGACACATAATTAAAAAATAAAACAAAAACTTAACAGTGGTTTGTATTAAGTAATAAGTAATTCAAGGGTCGCTCAATACATCAATGTTTAGTGCTGCATAATGGAATATATATTGGTAATTCACCAGTGCTACCCTACAATTTTGAGGTGGGATTTTTTGTTTTTCTTCTTAATGTTTTTCAAAGGTTCTTGCATACACCTAGAAAAGTCTTCATATACCCCTGGGTGTGTGTTCATACAACAGATTGGGTACCACTGCTCTATATAATTGGCCTTTTTCAACATCTTTTATTATTACCACTTCATTACTTCTGCCAAGTCACTGACAGATTCTCGATAGTCCTCAGTAGTCAGTTTTTGCATACAGAAAAATACAAATTTACATACATATCCCATCATATACATGCTATAAACTAGCCATTTTTATATTTACTTTATACT